GCTTCAAATAAAAGGAATATTTGTGAAACAAGACATACAAACACACATTTAAACACATATAGGCAGAAGCATATGTCATAAAACATCACCTATTTGTAACTTTTTACGACCATATTTAATTTTAGTGAATATTGAGAATCGAATCATGAATACATCCTTTAATGCTTGAGTTTTCTCATTATTTCTGGATAATGAAACTTCATCATAACAGCAGGCCTGCATTAAATATACCTTGTAATAATAAGCAGTCTGATACACTGTAGGCAAATGTGTGCTTTTTTGAGCACAATAACGATGTATAAAAATCTGCTACTTTAAAAAGATTAACCTGCAGAAAGTTTCCAAATATAAGTATAGGAACCTGCTTTTCGAATTGCTTTATGTTTTCAAACTTCAGCGGATGTGTGATCATCTCATTTATTAATTGCCTGGGGCAGAGGATAAAGGCATATTGAGTGGTAGCTAATGTATGTTTTATGGGCACTTTGGCTAAGAATCAAATAGCCATCTGAGTAACACTAATTTAAAAAATTATGTTTTATGCCTTGACCATGTGCAACTCTTACTGCTGATTTTGAAACATACTTCATAAAGGCCAGACCACTTTTGTCATTGTTGTATCTTTGCAGCACGTGCTCCGGGCAGCAGTGGAAATGTTCCCAGCACGTATGCCTTGTTCGTCCAGAATTAATTGAAAATGTCAATAAAGGAGACTATGGGTAAGAGAAGTCTTGCTCTAAATGCTTCTTGGCACACAAATCTATTCTCCAGTGTTCAAACAATCTATTGACTATCTAAAAATGTTCGTTAATTAAAAAGAAAAAGTGGGAGAGAGGTGAGAAGGGAGATGGAAAGTGTGTAAAACTGGAATGCAAAGGTAAACATTAAGTCATTTAAAATTAAAATGCACAAATAAAAAGAAGTTTAGGACATAGTCATGAATCATCTAGGAAAGAGCAACATAATGGTGTTTTTTTTTTTTTTATTGAATGGTAACTATGTACATTAATGCACTTCTGGGGTACAGTGTGGGGTTTTCACATGCAATC